GAAACGGATGTATGTTGATTTCCCCATTCCCATTTTTGAAATGCTCATCGGGATGCGATGTATCAGTAATACTACTTTGTAAGAGATGGCTTAATCATTAATATCAAATTCTGAAGTTAACTAGAATGATCTTAGAAACGTGTTGGATAATTTGACTGTTTCCAAAGTGTTTGCACATTTTCTCAAAGTTCTTCTAGGTAATCCCTATCCAGTAAACATAAAGATTTCATTTTGTTTGCTGAGAAACCATGTTGACATAATTTTAAGCTTATATTTCCAATCAATCCATACTCATTCTCGCTTTACACGATGTGCGTGTCAAAAAAAAAACAGATTTCAAAATACATGGAAATATGAGTACTTATCTTTGGGGTTGTAAATAGTAGGTACTAAGAATATGATTTTATGAGTTTATTACAAATTAGCATAAATGAACAATGCAAAAAAAAGTACAAAGTTCATATATGTTGTAGGCATACATACAGTCTGGTCTATTTATGGACAAAACACCCCAACGCCCTTCCAAAATTGCAACAAAAGGTTTTTCAACTGTTTCCAAAAGTGTTTGACATCACTAAAAACATACTAAACATCTAAGAAAATCTGACCCCTGGAAAATCTTAATTTTCAAAATAGCGGTCCAAGATGGCCACCAATACCTCAACATAGTAAAAAATCATGTCATTATATATCCATCTTAAAAATGTGATTTTAATATCTATATCACTTTTCAATTTGTTTGAAGTTCTAACATTTTAAGTATGTTGTTCCAGATGTTGAACACTACAAGAAACTCTTGAAAAACCTTTTGTGGCAATTTTTTGTTTTTTTTTTGTTGGGGGGGGGGGGGGGGGTCTACCCCTCTACTGACCCACTATTAGTGTGAATTTTGTGGTTTTGGAACCATAAAAGTTGAAATGATAAATCTCAGAACATTCACTTTACATTAACAATTGCTATATCTAGACACATACTCCAGTAACATGCACTATAAATGCTCTTCAGTTTTAAAATATTAAAATATGAACACAAAGTGAGTGATATATTTGCAGTATGACACATGCATATCCTCCTAACAATGCACACCAAAACACTCCAAGCATAATTAATGCTGCAGATACGATATTCCCTCGCTACTATTAGTAGCAGAATTAGTGCATGCACCGTACAAATTGGGGGATATTCTGGCAGCCATCACACGGATGATACGACGCAGAGGAAATCCGCAATAAGAGCCGTCGCCTTACTCATGATTCGAGCCTGTCGTATTGCCTTCACCCATACATGTACTCTATCTATTGAACTGCAAGACTTTAGACAGGGATTTCCTTATCGACATCCAAAATTGGTCAGTTTAAAATGGAAAGGGGGCTGGGGGAATTAGCCTATGTATACACATGATGGAGTTACTTTGTTTTCCCTTTTGTGAGATTACACCACTTACTGTAAGTCTATCTATAGTTTTTCCTTTTTTATATCCTAGAGGTGGTGTTAGAAAATAGATCTTACATCCTGATTCAGCTATCATACAAATTGCAAACAATAAACACAGACTGTAGGGGTTGCCCGAGGCAGATTAAGAACTTTATGTTCTTTTCTCTTTTCAGTCTTATTGGGGTTTTACCACTGATTACTAGTGTAGCAATATCACTAAAATTCCACTGGCGATGTTTCGCAAATTTTCTAATCCTCAAGTTCATTCATTATTAAAATCACAATGAAAAACAGTTTAAAATCATTCTTTTAATTTTCATCAAGTTTTTACCACTGATTACCAGTGTTCCATTATCATTGAAATTCTAGGGATTGAGTTTTAAAATTTATTTCTTTTTCTGGGTCAATAGAAATTTAAAGGATAAGGAATAACTACTACTGATTACTGAACATTTACCACACAGACGTCTACATTAGTGCTCATACAGCCAGCTACATGCATCGTACATGTATGCATAGATATTGTCCAGTGACTCATTGTAATTGAGATATATATTTCAGGGCAGTCGAAATAACTCAATGAAAGACCAAAATAACTTCAGAACCTGAGCCATGGCTTCTAAAGCTAATCAAGTGCTCCTTTTATTTTATTTTCCATGATAATCAATCATTGATTGGCTTCATACAGACTTCATTTTCTAGGGTCATATTGAAGAAAAAAAGAAAAAAAAACATAACAAACAACAGACATGTGAACAAGGACATGTTGCACAAACAGGATACCAGACAAACAGAAGGAAAAGGAAAAAATAACCTCTTGACATTTACAGTGCATTCTAAATCTTAGAGAAACCTTAAATGTAATGACCAGTTTGGGAAACGCCCCAATTTCAGAAAATGAAATGGAAGCTCTCATTACCAATCATGTGAAAGAATATGTTTTGACTAATACATGATGATAAAAAATTTGCCGGGAAACCGCCTACTAATTCATATATTTGGTAAATTTGTTTCTCTCATGGTCTGTGAGAGATATAGGGTAGTCCCATATACATCTTTCTGTGTATAGTGATTGTAACTTTACGAAGAATGGGCCAAATTTCTTATCATTTTGATGATTCCAGAACCTTGCAGATGCTAGATGCTAGATGATCAACCTTTTCTGATCGATTCCACAACGTTTCTTTCACAATGCAATCGCATGACCATAACTGGTCTTTACCTTTAAAATACCAACCACCCACTTTTGCAATGTTACTAACATGATATTGATTGTCAGATACCCCCACATAAATGCTTCCTTACGATGAAAACGAGGAAGTTCCGCTGGACACAGCCCATGTTTACATCATGGCTGACATCGGTAATCAAACTATTAACTGACTAAACTATCCCGCAATAAACGGTGAAGTTAATCATGAACCGGAGCACTTCAGAAATACTAATATTGTGACATTTTGCCTGCATTGTACTTTGTAGTTAATGAAAACTGGCCTGTTTGTACAGAAAACAGGTACCTCATTAGTTCAGCACCTGTCAAAATGGTACTAGTTAGCCTTTTAAAAGTGCAATCATGGAAGTAAAGCAGCGTCCCCAATAAAAGGTCAATGAACTTTTACAAATTCAGGCCAAGAAAGTGATCTCCAAGACCTACATACATGTAAGAACAAGGTTACTGGCAGTTTGTATATAGTTCTTTATAATGTAAAATATTCACATATATATATTTCATTTTTATAATGTAAAATATTCACATATATATATATTCATTTTTTATAATGTAAAATATTCACATATATATATTTCATTTTTTATAATGTAAAATATTCACATATATATATTTCATTTTTTATTAAACAGAAAAAGAAAAAAAAAACTAACCAAGGGATGTGCGTGAATCGTAAATATAGCTTTTATCAATTATTTTTAAAATAAAGAATCCATACAGAATTCGCTGATCTGTTTCTCCCACACCAGTCTTCCCATCCCATCCCATAGTCTCTTGAGTACAGTTTGTCTCAAGGTGATTCCCCATTACCACGAAAACGGAAAGTGCATCACCGCAGCAGCAGGAAAGGTCACTTTTTACCAAAGTAGTCTCAATGAAACAAACCCATGAATCCTATATCATTGCTCTTTTAGAGGGGGCTTCTCAATCTCAGAAGTACAAGGTTATTGTTTTTGAATCTCAGTATAAAGGCCTTGCCTTTGGCCTAATTTATTAAAATCATATTCTCTCTCTCTTTCTCTCTCTTTCTCCCCCTCTCTCTCTCTCTCTCTCACTGAAGATGAATGAAATATTATGAAGTTTCTTTTTCTTGCTTCTCTTAATCAAAGGAGAACAAATTCAATCTCATTTTTTCATCCTCACCCCCTCCACCCACTCTGCCTCTTTCTCATGATTAAGGATTAGTACTGCTCTTATTTGGCTTCTCAATATTGGAACATTCTACAAGTTCATTCAGGGTAATAATGTTGGAGCATCTGGAGAGTCACGATGTGACGGGACTAAGGGCTCTGTTAGAAGCCACCGTTATTATTGTTTTCATTATCATTATTAATCAACTATTATTGTTGTTATCTGAGAGACTTGTTCTGGACCATCAAATGTCAGTAGTTAGGCCTACATGTATTCATGAGTAAACTATGCCAAGCAAGCTTTTCAGTTTTTAAATTAAGAATACAAATTATCATTGGCAAATAGTTCAAAGTTTACACATATACATATCATTGGTAAAGAGGTTGTACGCATTAAGCATATGAACAAAATGAAGTCAAGGGTCTGGCAGTCGAGACTAATCAGATCCTGGCTTTGAGGTTTACTAATGAACTGAATAAATGAAGGGCCTACTTTGTATAAATGCCAGTATATTCTGAAGTTGAATTACGCAATCCTGAAAAAGGCTAATCACCCTTCCCCCATAACTTTTTTTAATTAATCAATTACAGTAAAATTGTGCAATCAAATCACTAATGACCTGGCCCAGCGTCAAAATTCACCATAGAATAAGTTACCCCCGCCCCCACCACCTTTCATAAAATTTGGATCAACTACTACCCCATACGGTACATGCAGGCCTGCACCCTTGCCTAAGATTTGTAAAAATGGCGTCTTTGCATGTATGTAGGCCTATATCAATCACAAAATAATTTTATAATAATAATGAGAGATGTATTTAGTACGAAGACCTACCTGTAATGACGGCAGACGTTTAGTCAACATGATCATACAGGATGCTAATAAATCCTTAAGAACCTCCTTTAGGTACCACGTCAAATAATAGAATCAGAAAATCCTCATGATTTCCGCTCTTCTGGTACACCGATAATGCAACTATCATTTCATACATACGCCTGCATGACAAGCTCCATCCCTGGGCCGAAAGAATCAATACATTCCTATAAAAACAGGTGGTCTGAACAGACAGAAAACAAGCATGGTAAAGGTCATGGATGAATCAATGACGGAGGCTTGATCAAGACTAAATCTAGAAGATTTAATTTGCCATTTTTTCTATGTTTCTAAGCCAGGGAGAACGCAGGGTCGGGATGGGTTTGTGTCTCACCGTTAAGCGCAGCGGGTGCCTGTCTGATTGCTCCAGTTCTATGATCATCCAGGAGACAGATGGTGGACCTTAAAGATGCTTGGGATACGCCTACCCTCCACTTCCTTCTTGGACTGAAGGCTGGCGATTCAACACATGCTCCAGCGAATATTGCAGACAGGCTTGGCTTCCTCAAAGATGTAGGTTTAGGGTTAGGGTTATACAGATCAAACCTGTCTATAGCGGCTGCCCAAGGGAAACACAAAACATGGTGTTTGTAGACAGGTTCCTTTAGTAAATAGTTCAATGAGAAACCATTTTCAAGGGAAACAACTAACGTGGTCTTTGTAGACAGGTGGTCACTAAAGCAGGTTTGACTGTTTATGCCATTTTGGTTTTACAATTGCTACTGGAAGATATCAATCCAGACCTCCAAAGAGCTTTGGAAACTATTACTCCTGTTTTAGCTACAGGAACCATTGCCAGCACAAACCTGTAGTATAGTGCATTTCAAGAAATAGTCATACCAGGTATTCACTCATGACATCAGGTTCCAGAGGAGATAATGTAGATTGAATTCTTGCTAAAGGGAGTCTGTGAAATAAAATGCTTGAAATCAAATTCGTCCACACATTAATATCTTGCATGACTGGGATCTCCATGAAATTCATCAAAGCTCATCAGAATTCAGTCTTCATGAGCCATGCATTCCACACATTTATCATTGTACAGGTAGTAGTTTGAAGACATCACCTTGACTATAAAACAAAAAGGAAATACAGTATACTCACTTCTAAAAAAACATTGCACAAAGTTCCAAATATTGCTTCCATATGTTGCTGCCTACAGTGGAGGGGAGTTGGGGGGGGGGGGGGGTGGCCAGAAACAAGACAAAATCTACAGCTGGTTATTTATAGCAGAGTCTGGTTGTGCAAAGGAAAAGATGAAGCAAAACATGAAAGTAAAAGAGGACTGGTCTTGAAACATCCAGGGGGAGAACATTTGGCAGACAAACTCATGGGAGAAAATAATTTCATGTGCCTCATGAGAAAACATTGGTTAAAGATGTCACAGGAAAGATGGGGTCAAGGGTCATAGGGTCGGGTCACCTCCACAGGTGAGAAGAATGCCTGTTGACCCCTTGTGCTCCTTTCAAGTTGACTGTGGGAATCTTTGGGATATAAAATCTATCCAAAAGCAGCATTTTTTATCTCCACTTGCTCGATAGCTGGCATATGTTTCGTTTCGAGGGACAAGTTCCAAAAAATATGGAACTGAAAGTCTTGTTTATTCCAGAGTAGAAACCAAAAGTGTACGTTGTGATTTGGCAACGCTGACAAAATGATGACAATACACAAGGATTATTTGGTATTTTGTAATTCTTTCATTTTTTGTCACTTCCATCTCACATACCCACAACTATAAATATTGCTGATTGTATTGTTAAATTTGTAATTGGGACTGTCATAACAGAATTATATTTATTTTAAGAAAATTCATGTGTAGCAACATCTTTTTATATTTAACGAAATTGAAATAACTATGTCAGTGTAGGAGCATGGGACATATAAGATGTAATGACTAAAACTGCCACTGTTATTTTCAATTTGTTAAATATATGGAAATATCAGCATTGTCATTATCGTTGAAATTGCATATCGTGTATTATTAGATTCTCCCCCAATCAATAAACCTTGCCAAACGTTCTTCACAATTTAATTCCCAGCATATAATAGGAAAGGCAGCACAAGGACATTTCTGATATATACTACGTACGGGGAACGGATCTGAAAATGCACCTCGAATTCAATCAGTGCCATTTTTAATTACTCGTTCACTCCATCTAACCTCTAAATGAACCCGACGGAGCCTCTTTTCTTCGGAAGACCCAAGAAAATCTACGATGGCGCGATTCTCTACTTACATGTATGTCGCTGCATCAAGTCGAAAGCCATTATTTTTAGTGATTGAATTAGTGCAGGGAGATGCATGCTTTGCACGCTTAATCACATGACCTGTCCTTAAACTCTACCCCATCAGCTCATTTTGTCGTTTTCCACGCAGATTCGGTCAAACGCACGGATGCACGCCTACAGTGTAAGGCATGGATGATCGGTGATAAACGGAATATGGCATAACATTTTGAAGAGATATCTTCTGTTAATTGTATTCACACCAGAGACTCCATCATGTGCTGCGAGCCAGAAGGGTGTTAAGACTATGCAAAATGATAGGAGTTAAAGGGACTTGGTAACATTGCCGCAGATTCTGAAACAAAACCCTGGATATAGCTCATGCTGCAAACATAATTGTAAACCTTTAGGTCAGTCAGGATCGATCCCATGATTTTTACAAGCCGGTCGCCTGTCTGATTATCAAGATATTTATGATTGGAAATAGAAATTTCATTTTTCGTTTTCCTAACGGTTTTGATAACACTACAGTCTATTGAGGAAAATTAGTATGGTAAAACTGGTCACTCAAAGATTTTTACTTTTTTGAGGCACTTCCTGATCATTTTGAAGCGCAATTTTTTTAGGGCTTCAATATTACACTATATCACAGACACTGATAACACGTAGGGCCATGCATCTCAGATTTAACATTGTTAAACGATGCCTTTAATGCATTTCTATTCGCAGCTCTCGGCAAACACCTAGAAGCAAGCACGTATACATTCACGCACGAACGATACACCTCTCGCTTCGATTACTTAAAAAAAGATCACACCATCTTTGGTGCAGCTGTGGGACACAATTCGGTAATGTAAACAAAGTTGGACGAGCAAGAAAAGGTGTAAAACAAATATTTCCCCCCTATCCATCAAATCTTGTCAACTGATCGTCAAGTTCAGGATCGTTGGTACAGCCATGTCAATCATTTTCAGGCAAATAAAAGGGTTAACAAAAATATCTCACCGCAAAATGGTTCAACAAGAAACTTCCCATGATAAAAAAAATGGATAAAATAAGCCTGTAAATTAGAAAGGTATACAAGAAGTCCCCCAATTTTATGTTCTTTGGAATGCTCAAAAGTCCATTTTCACTGTTTTTATCTGTACATTAGACATTTATCGACCTCTCATGCTTTATAACAGGGTGTCTGGAAAACACATCTAATTGCCAGCATTTCAATCACTACATGTACAGTATACATGTCAAAATTCCTGAATCATTCGGCACAACATTATGAAATACCTCTCAAGCCATGGTTACGTGTAACATGCTGCGTTTATGAAAAACAACCACAAATATTATAAGCAGATCTGCACATCTGCCATGCACGACAGTCGTTTAATTCTCTCCTTGCATCTGCTGATCAACTGAAGCAAACAACATGGCAGTAGGCCTGTCTTCATCAGCTCGAGATTGCAAAATAACCTGCTATTTTAACTATCCCAATCGCAAATTATCCAGCTAATTTGCGTCTTGATCAGCCTGCATTTACAATTAGCGGGATATTTGGTCGAGATAATCATCTCAAGATATCTTGGGCTAGTTTGCAAAATATCCTGTTATTTGTCCGGGAACGCTGGGCAAAAAATCATGAGCTAATTTCTCAAGCTCAAGTTTCGAGGTTGAGTCTCGAGCTGATGAAGACGCGATTTGTAACCTCGGGATCATTTCCCAAATCAGAAATAGCGGGCTATTTGGCAAGCTCAGGCTGATGATGACATACCTAGCGATGGCAGTGATGCACAACAACTGAGCTCACACTGGCGCTCAAGGTCTACGGACTATCTTTAGATCATCGAATAGAGTGGCATCATTCATGTTAACAAAGCACTAATGAAATGGAGTGTAAATTAGCTAATATATGTTGTCTCTTCCCATTCTTCCAAACCCTCTCTTTGTCTGTCTCTATCAGTCTGTTTGTTCTCTCTCTCTCCTTCTGTGTCTGTGTCTGTCTATCAATTCAATTCAATTCAATTTATTCATGTTTCCAACAAAACCTAACAAATCAATGATAAGCATTAAAACAAATGTAAGAAATACATGTTGTATATTTGTACATGTATATCTGTCTGTCTGTTTTTCTCTCTCTTTATTTATTTAATATCTGACTCTAATATCTTTCTCTTTCTTTTGCTTTTGCTTTTCTTTCTATCAGGAACATTATAATTAAGGTCAGGGAAATGACATTCTCATGTACTACATGTGAGCTCAAACTTTACAATCTCAAAACTTGGGTCAAAATATGTGCAGAGCGTACCAAAATCTGGCCTCAAGTGCCGGTGAATGAATATGGAGAAAAGACAATCAGCTCTGGTGTTGCCGTTTTACCATCAAGCGCGATCAACACAATTAAACTGTGCTCGTAGCACGATTACAAATGAACATATACACCTATACAACCGTCCACTAAACTTGACAGCTAAGCCCTCGACATTTATGATCACAATTCTTCCACGTCCCCAATCACTCTACACACATTAGTAAACGTAGATCAGAAAGTAGGTCACCGTTCGCGACCATCCCCGGGGTTCGCGCTGAATGTCGATTACATCTGAATTCATTTGTACATGCAGAAACCATCTGGCTGTTCCCTTCCATAGAATAAGGCATCCTTTTTTCCCAGGACCATTGAAAAATTAGAATCCAGAGGAGCCTGTAAATCAGAAACTATTATTTCTCCCCTCTCATTTGATTTAGTGTGAATGTTGACTACTTTGGTATAGGTGAACATTTCTTGTGCTTTACCTTTTATTTTACTTCTATGTTGGAGTATACTTACTCCGGATATCTCATTATATATGTTTGTATAGAAGATTGTATAATTTTGTTTTTATCTTGACCTGGAAATGAATAAATCAATCAATCAATCAATCAATCAATCAATGAAATAAAATGAAATTTATTAAAAGAATTCTTTCAAGATGCTCTCATATTAATTCAAAATGAAAAAAATGATGAAGAGTGGTACAGTACTAAACTCAAGATAACTTTTAAGACTAAATTATTAACATTTAGCATCCCTTTTCAGCATTCCCACCCGTCTCTTGACAAATGAGAGAAGGAAAGACTGTATTCTTGATCCATTTTTCTGCCTGGACGACAGGCTAGTATCCAGGTACCAACTAGGCATGTTTCTCGGGATTGAAAGTCACTTTCTATTGCAAGAACGTGTTTGGACGCATTAATCTTGCTTCTAATTTTGCTGTTCATAAATATTTCATATTCACCCATTTTTTGAAAAAGGAAACTGTTACGAAAGATAAAAAGCTTCAACTTGGTTATGCTATTCTATA